GGAGGAAACTCCAAATTCTACTGGGAGAAGAGGAGACAATGTTGAAAATAGCTGTAGAGAGAGAAGAGAGAGAGAGAAATAAGGGAGAGAGAGAAAGAGAGAGAGCAATGAGAGAGAAAAAAAATATGTTATATTCATACACACACTGATAGAACTCTCTCGCTCTCTCATTGGGGGGGGGGGGGCACACAATTTTTGTGTTGCCTGGGGCAGCACAAATCCTAAATACACCCGTCTGTTGTACTCTACTACATGAGTGGCCAGTTTGCACTTTATTTTTAAAGAATGATTTATTTGCTGCACTTCGATGCGCCCTCTTGTGTCTCTTTATCCCATTACAGATGTTCCTTCAGTCTGCTGCTCTATGGAAAGGTCATCTCATCTACTTCCACCGTATTCTGTGTACTGATGGACTATTAGTTTTTACCATTATTGACGTTTCTGGTTGTTTTTGCACCATAATCTTTTGTATGTTTATCTGTCAAACGTTTTTTTTTTTTACAGCAATACAAATCAATACAACCCATGTTAGGACAGCATTGAGGATTTGTAAGTGAAATGTATCTGGGCTTGCAATTTTCACCCAAAAGAGGAAATGTGTCAGGAAATGAGGATTACAATACTTCTGTAATTCTGTTGGCACGCAAAGTCTTTCTATCTGCTGAAGGTTCAGATACAGTACCAGGGGTGGACTGACAACTCATGGGGCCCCGGGCAATAGGGATCATGGGGCCCCCTGTGTCCTTGCCCAAACTCAAAAAAAGCTTATGAAAAAGGTACCAGGGGCATCTCATGGGGCCCCCTACTGACCCCGGGCCCTCGGGCAGTGCCTGAGTTTCCAAATGGTCAGTCCGCCCCTGCACAGTACTCACCTGACAGCTTATGGCAGCCTTTCACAACCTTTTGTAACATGGAGAAATACTCCGTAGTACCTGGATGTACAATTTAGGTCTCAGAGGGCCCACCCTGGTTCAGTTGGTGGGATGTTAGGTCAACGTATCGCAGGTACAGACACTGAATTTGAACCACATGGAAGTCAATGGGTGACAAATATGTAAATTGAATTATCCTCATTTTTAAGGCTATAGATTAGGCAGAAGGAACAAGAAAAAAGGGGACGGGGGGAGGGGCATTGCCCTGGGGGACATGCACCAAATGGCAAATAAAAAAATAATGTTTTTGATGTTATTATTGATTAAAGTGAAACAATAATGCACTATTCCTTAAAAAAAAAAAAACTTCTTAGGAGATACCCTGCATCTGCTAGTGATGCGGCTCACATATACAGGCGTACCTCGGTTTACGAATGCCTCGGTTAATGTCATTTTCGGTTTACGAATGAAAATCCACTGAAAATAATGCCTCTGTTTATTAATTTTTTTCGCAATCCGAACGGATTAATTGGGTTTCAATGCATTTACAAATTTTTTTTTAACCCCTTGACGCTGAGCGCACGCAAATATGCGGCCTCTCGGCATCTGGGCCTTGACGTTGAGCGGCCACATATTTGCTTGCAATTAGAAAATACATATGTGCTGAGAGCGCGTGCCCTTCGAGCTTCATGTTCATATGTCCATGACTCAAGGAAAGGTCCCGATCTCCCCTTTCGATCGGGGCCTTTTCGATCATGTGACCGCCGTGACGGCGAATCACGACAGTCACGTGACCCTAAAACCTCACCCGCCTCCCGGCTTCTGAAACTTTTAAAGGGCTGGGAGGTGCCGGCACCAAGAGGTTAATCATGTCCCTGTACAGTATTTATGTCTTTAAAGTGCACTTTATAAAGAGTTTTGAACAGATAAAAGACTTTTTTAAAACTTTTTTCTGACCTCCGGAATGGATTAATTGGTTTTCAATGCATTTACAAATTTTTTTTTAATCATGTCCCTGTACAGTATTTATGCCTTTAAAGTGCACTTTATAAAAAGTTTTGAACAGATAAAAGACTTTTTTAAAACTTTTTTCTGACCTCCGGAATGGATTAATTGGTTTCAATGCATTTACAAATTTTTTTTTAACCCCTTGACGCTGAGCGCACGCAAATATGCGGCCTCTCGGCATCTGGGCCTTGACGTTGAGCGGCTGCATATTTGCTTGCAATTAGAAAATACATATGTGCTGAGAGCGCGTGCCCTTCGAGCTCCATGTTCATATGTCCATGACTCAAGGAAAAGGTCCCGATCTCCCTTTTCGATCGGGACCTTTTCGATCATGTGACCGCCGTGACGGCGAATCACGGCAGTCACGTGACCCTAAAACCTCACCCGCCTCCCGGGTTCTGAAACTGGGAGGGCTGGGAGGTGCCGGCACTGCATTAATCATGTCCCTGTACAGTATTTATGTCTTTAAAGTTCACTTTATAAAGAGTTTTGAACAGATAAAAGACTTTTTTAAAACTTTTTTCTGACCTCCACAACGGATTAATTGGTTTTCAATGCATTTACAATTTTTTTTTTTTAATCATGTCCCTGTACAGTGTTTATACCTTTAAAGTGCACTTTATAAAAAGTTTTGAACAAAGAAAATACTTTTTTAAAACTTTTTTCTGACCTCCGGAATGGATTAATTGGTTTCAATGCATTTACAAATTAATTATTGTATTTCAATGTTTTTATTAATTTATAAACAGTTTAAGACAGGAGCAAAAACACGCCCACGCAGGGGCTATCAATTGCACATAAAAAAGAAAAATGAAAAAAAAAAAAAGTGCTCTAACACCAACAGAGCAAAAGGTGCGCCCACGCAGGGGCTATCAATGGCACATAAATGACAAAGACATTAGTATAACATCAACAGTAACTCAAACTAAAGGCAGCTATCCACTGCCACACCGAAAACAAACAGAAAAAGAAAAGGAAAGAGGAGTACAAAAGGAAAAAGATAACCAAGAGCAGGGGTCCTAAACGCCAATACCGAAACATCACAGCCCCAAGGAGCAGGGCAACCACGGCTCCCATATTTTCATTTCCATTGGGAGTCGTTACAGATACTCAACATCTGTTCAAACAAATTCATTTTTATATCATGTCCCTGTACAGTATTTATGCCTTTAACCGCCTCCCGCCCGCCATATTGTCCAATGATGGGCGCAAGGCGGTTCTCTCGTTCTGGGAGGACGTCATATGACGTCCTCCCATTCTAACTGTGCATGCGTGGCTCCAGGAGCACGCAGTGCGGCGATCGCCGGTGCGCTGTGTCTCTGAGATCACCGATCTACGGAATGAGCCGAAGATCTTGGCTCGGTCATGTGATCAGCTGTGTCCAATCACAGCTGATCACATGTAAATAGGGAAATGCCGGTTATCGGCATTTCTCTCCTCGCGAGCTGTCACGCTGACAGAGGAGAGGAGAGCCGGTAATCGGCATTCTGCGGAGGGGACATCTACACTGATGATCAGTGTAGCCCCAGCAGTGCCACCTGTCAGTGTCCATCAGTGCCAGCTCTCAGTGCTCATCCATGCCACCTGCCAGTGCCCATCAGTGCCACATCAATGCCACATATCAGTGCCTACCAGTGCACATCAATGCCACATATCAGTGCCCATCTGATCTGCCTTTCAGTGTCACCCATTAGTGCCAGTCAGTGCCACCTATCAATGCCAGTCAGTGCCACCTATCAGTGCTGCCAATTAGTGCCACCTATCAGTGCCAGTCAGTGCCGCCTATCAGTGCCATGCCGCCCTATATATGAGTGCTGCCTTTCAGTGCCCATCAGTGATGCCTGTCAATGCCCATCAGTGCCACCTACCAGTGCCTCCTCATCAGTGCCCATCAGTGCCACCTATCAGTGTCCATCAGTGCACCCTATCAGTGCCCATCACTGCAGCCTCATTAGCGCACATCATTGAAAGAGAAAAATCACTTATTTACAAAATTTTATAACAAAAACTAAGAAAAAACTTTTTTTTTTTCAAAATTTTCAGTGGTTTTTGGTTTGTTTAAGAAAAAATAAAAAACCCTGAGGTGATTAAATACCACCAAAAGAAAGCTCTGTCACAAAAAATGATAAAAAAAATTCAAATGGGTACAGTGTTGCATGACCGCGCAATTGTCATTCAAAGTGTGACAGCGCTGAAAGCTGAAAATTGGCCTGGGGGGGAAGGGGGTAGAAGTGTCCGATAGGTGAGGGGTTAAAGTGCACTTTATAAAGAGTAAAGACTTTTTTAAAACTTTTTTCTGACCTCCGGAACGGATTAATTGGTTTTCAGTGCATTCCTATGGGAAACCGCGTTTCTGTTTACAAATTTTTTCGCAGTATGAAAAGTCCCGCAGAATGCATTAAATTTGTAAACCGAGGTACGTCTGTACAATGTATACAGCAACATTTTCAAAGAGAAAAGCGATGCCATTTATATTGATAGTAATTTTCATTTCCCTGTCAGCTTCCTATCCTGTAAAAAAAAAAAAAAATGTTATGGGAACCCAGAAAATGCATACTAGACTCTCAGGGAGAATGAGGATCTGTATGTATTTTGGGGGGTCCCTATGCCATTACTTACTGTCATTTCTCCTGTAAGGAAAAAAAAGTGGAGCCTCCCAAAATCCATAGCAATCCTTCTGATGTAGTATGGATTTTAGAAGGGGAACCCGTGCATAACAATAAAATATTGCATGGTGGTCCCAGGTATGCCCCAACAGGGCATTGTACATTTCAGAATTTCCATTGGTGGTTGAAGAGTGACCACATCTGCGGTCCACCGATAAAGTCCACCAACAGTTATGATTTATGGGTAAGTCTCATTGATAGACTTACCTATAAATCATAACTTGTACTTGGCAACCTTTTTCATTTCACCTGTTGATAGCCAGGCTCTGTTATTATTTACTATGTATTTTCCATGCAAACCAATAGAGTGATAATCACACGATGCCGCACATCCCCCGTGGATGTTGATCTATCTCTTTGTTTAGTTTTTCTCTAACCTTCCTTCTGTTTGCACTCACTCAACATCCTATTTCTCATTTTGCTTAGCCCTAAAAGCAAGACGAGCTGTAGGGGAATGGCCGGCTACTCCATACGGAAATACGACAACGGGGATTACCACGCTGTACGTAAACTGTTCGCCCAAGGAATGTTAGATTACCTTCCTGGCGCTACTTCCTACATCTTGAAACGGCCACAAGTCTACTGCACCATCTTGGCTTCGTCCATCACACTTCACTTGTACTGTCGCTCCTACATCCTGTCTCTGTTCAGCATTGGGGCATTCGTGGCGGCAGTTCGTGGCCTTTTAACGTTTGCAGTTCGCATGTTTATAAGGAAGGTTCACAATGGAGATCTACTAAACATTGAAGAGTCTTATGTCCAGAGACCCAACTCTTGCTTCTGGGTAGCTGAGTCTGGTGGTCGGATTGTAGCGATGGTGGGTGTCCAGCCTGATCCAAACTCCAACACCGACATGATACTACGACGCTTGTCCGTGGCTGAAGACCAGCAACGCCGAGGGATTGCCAAGGCCATGTGCATGAAGGTCTTTGACTTTGCTCGCCAACGGGGATACCAGCGCGTCACCCTAGATACATCGACCATTCAAGTCAACGCTCATAAACTGTATCAACGTATGGGATTCAAGACAACAAAAATAATACCGAGCAGAAGTCGACTAGGAAGGATCGCAAATATGACTGTGGTGTACTACAGCTACGATGTCTAGATGTAATATTAGAGGGATGGAGAACGTGAGGACTTGTGTGAAGATGGAAGGTGAACAAAAAAGAATAAGGACACTCCAAAATGAATGATCATACAATGTGATTAGATAGATAGATAGATAGATAGATAGATAGATAGATAGATAGATAGATAGATAGATAGATAGATTGACAGGTAGATTGATAGATAGATGTCTCCATAGATAAATAGATAGATGTCTCCATAGATAAATAGATAGATGTCTCCATAGATAGATAGATGTCTCCATAGATAAATAGATAGATGTCTCCATAGATAGATAGATAGATGTCTCCATAGATAAATAGATAGATGTCTCCATAGATAGATAGATGTCTCCATAGATAAATAGATAGATGTCTCCATAGATAGATAGATAGATGTCTCCATAGATAAATAGATAGATGTCTCCATAGATAGATAGATGTCTCCATAGATAGATAGATGTCTCCATAGATAGATAGATAGATAGATGTCTCCATAGATAGATAGATAGATGTCTCCATAGATAAATAGATAGATGTCTCCATAGATAGATAGATAGATGTCTCCATAGATAAATAGATAGATGTCTCCATAGATAAATAGATAGATGTCTCCATAGATAGATAGATATAGATAGATGTCTCCATAGATAAATAGATAGATGTCTCCATAGATAGATAGATGTCTCCATAGATAAATAGATAGATGTCTCCATAGATAAATAGATAGATGTCTCCATAGATAGATAGATAGATGTCTCCATAGATAAATAGATAGATGTCTCCATAGATAGATAGATAGATGTCTCCATAGATAAATAGATAGATGTCTCCATAGATAGATAGATGTCTCCATAGATAGATAGATAGATGTCTCCATAGATAGATAGATGTCTCCATAGATAGATAGATGTCTCCATAGATAGATAGATAGATAGATAGATGTCTCCATAGATAAATAGATAGATGTCTCCATAGATAGATAGATAGATAGTGTCTCCATAGATAGATAGATGTCTCCATAGATAAATAGATAGATGTCTCCATAGATAGATAGATGTCTCCATAGATAAATAGATAGATGTCTCCATAGATAGATAGATGTCTCCATAGATAAATAGATAGATGTCTCCATAGATAGATAGATAGATGTCTCCATAGATAAATAGATAGATGTCTCCATAGATAGATAGATGTCTCCATAGATAGATAGATAGATGTCTCCATAGATAGATAGATGTCTCCATAGATAGATAGATAGATGTCTCCATAGATAGATAGATAGATGTCTCCATAGATAAATAGATAGATGTCTCCATAGATAGATAGATAGATAGATGTCTCCATAGATAAATAGATAGATGTCTCCATAGATAGATAGATAGATGTCTCCATAGATAAATAGATAGATGTCTCCATAGATAAATAGATAGATGTCTCCATAGATAAATAGATAGATGTCTCCATAGATAGATAGATGTCTCCATATATAGATAGATGGATTTGTTTCTTTTAGCCTAATCTGGGCTTAGCCCCCACTTCTCTCTGTTCCCCACTTCCATCTGAAGACCCCCCTGATGTATTTTTTTTAATACTTACATTTTCTGAAATCTTCAAGCCAAATACTTGATGTGGTATGCTCTTCAGATGTTTTCCCAGTGGTGGATGGTCATCAGTGATGCAGAGAGTGACTTGTATGTGATAATCTCAGTAGCACTCTCTACATCATTACATTAACCCCTTTCCTGGCTGTTTACCAGGATCTAAATGCCTGGAGGCAAGGCAGGCTTTCTGATCATGTGACTGGCAGTCACAGCGGTCACATGATCGTAAAGCTCCAGATAGCTAGTTTGCATTGGGAGCTTTCTGGTAGCCACTAGTTATTGTGATGAGAGCACGCTCTCAGCACAGAATAGGGTTTACCTAGTGCCGCATTTATGGGGCGTTAAACCCCACCCACTGAGAGGCCCTATATATGCACCAGGTCGGTGGGAAGTGGTTAAAAGATCAGAGCAAGGTATTGGCAGGTGGTTGGTCCATGACTCCCTGCACATAGACTTCATTTATATGCACTGGCGGGATGCTAAAAATAGGTGGTTGAGCTGCAATTTTACCATCATGACCACCCATCTTAAGCAAACATGGAGGCTGAAGGGGGTGGCACACATGACTCAGCATAATATATACTACATGTTGAGTTCAGTGAGCAGTACCTATAGCAAACGTGACCTAATAGCCTGAATGGGGTTGGCTGCAATCACCCTGCCAGAGTGTGTAGTACAGGCGGTTGCAGCAAGGTGCTGCAGGCTTTCAAAGGTTAATACAGGTGATGAGGTGATATATCACTTACCAGCCTGTCATGTCCTCTGAAAAGTGATCCACTGATCCCTTTTCATAGAGGAGGCAATAGGAGCTGAAAGTGTAAAGAGCCCTTACAGTATGCCCTCAGCCCTATAGGTTAAAAACATCACTGGGCAACATTGTAAATGGCATCCAGAGATTTCTTATTGGAAGGGGACAGCTCTGGAGAGGAGGCAGAAAGTGTAGCCAGTGTCCCATTGGCTGGGGCTCCTTTTTTTGTACAGATTTAAAAGATTGAGCCTTACTCCACAGGAGCTCTTTGGAGCCTTCCTCCTTAGATGTCATTTAGGGCCTTCTTCCTCAGTAGTCCTGTGGAGCCATCCTCCTTAGGAGTCATGTGAAGCCTTCCTCCTCAGTAGTCCTGTGGAGCCTTCCTCCTCAGTAGTTCTGTGGAGCTTTCCTCCTTAGTGGTCCTTTGCAGCCTTCCTCCTTAGATGTCATTTAGGACCTTCTTCCTTAGTAGTCCTTTGGAGCCTTTCTCTTTAGATGTCATTTAGGACCTTCCTCCTTAGTAGTCCTGTGGAGCCTTCCTCCTTAGTGGTCCTTTGCAGCCTTCCTCCTTAGATGTCATTTAGGGCCTTCTTCCTTAGTAGTCCTTTGGAGCCTTTCTCCTTAGATGTCATTTAGGGCCTTCCTCCTTAGTAGTCCTTTGGAGCTGTCCTCCTTAGTGGTCCTTTGCAGCCTTCCTCCTTAGATATCATTTAGGGCCTTCCTCCTTAGTAGTCCTTTGGAGCCTTCCTCCTTAGTGGTCCTTTGCAGCCTTCTTCCTTAGATGTCATTTAGGGCCTTCCTCCTTAGTAGTCCTTTGGAGCCTTTCTCCTTAGATGTCATTTAGGGCCTTCCTCCTTAGTAGTCCTGTGGAGCCTTCCTCCTTAGCAGTCCTGTAAAGCCTTCCTCCTTAGTAGTCCTTTGGAGCTTTCCTCCTTAGTGGTCCTTTGCAGCCTTCCTCCTTAGATGTCATTTAGGGCCTTCTTCCTTATTAGTCCTTTGGAGCCTTCCTCCTTAGTAGTCCTTTGGAGCCTTCCTTCTTAGTGGTCCTTTGGAGCCTTCCTTCTTAGTGGTCCTTTGCAGCCTTCTTCCTTAGATGTCATTTAGGGCCTTCCTCTTTAGTAGTTCTTTGGAGCCTTCCTCCTTAGTAGTCCTTTGGGGCCTTCCTCCTTAGTGGTCCTTTGCAGCCTTCCTCCTTAGATGTCATTTAGGGCCTTCTTCCTTAGATGTCCTTTGGAGCCTTCCTTCTTAGTGGTCCTTTGGAGCCTTCCTTCTTAGTGGTCCTTTGCAGCCTTCTTCCTTAGATGTCATTTAGGGCCTTCCTCTTTAGTAGTTCTTTGGAGCCTTCCTCCTTAGTAGTCCTTTGGGGCCTTCCTCCTTAGTGGTCCTTTGCAGCCTTCCTCCTTAGATGTCATTTAGGGCCTTCTTCCTTAGATGTCCTTTGGAGCCTTCCTTCTTAGTGGTCCTTTGCAGCCTTCTTCCTTAGATGTCATTTAGGGCCTTCCTCCTTAGTGGTCCTTTGGAGCCGTCCTCCTTAGTGCCGTAGGAAACACAAGAATAGATACACATATGCATATGAAGTGCTCTCCCAACCCCGCATGTATATTTATCTAATACTGTAATAAAGTCCAAAAAAACTTGTGAATGAATGAGAGGATAGGAGGGTGTCACATAAATCCTGTGAATTCTCCACCACTCGTGAATAATAGATGAATTTCCCTCTCACCAGAAGGTGTGACCTCCACTTGGGTGGTCAAATAACACTAGGTAATCAAATGTTGTGTGGATTCCCAACTGCAGGCTCTCATAGGACGAATCTCCAAGCTCCCCTTCTAATAATGACTCTCCAGAAAGATCAATTAAAATGAATTTTCATAAAATTGCTGTAAGTGTAATATTTATTAGGAACCATGGTTCAAATGATAAAAAAAAATGCGCTCACATATTAAGATGCCTGTGAAGACTTCCTGAAGACCCCCCCCCCCCCCCCGAGGTGAAACGTCCGTAGAAGTGTGATCCCGTCACTTCCGGGTCCCACATGACGTCACGTTTGGCCCACTAAAGCGAGGCCTGGAGTGCATGCCAGCTTTCCATAGTTAGATTGATGTTTATATATTGGCACGGACTGGTGCCGGGGTACAGGCACCTTGAGTTTTTTTGTATTGAACTGCATGAGCTTATCCCTTTTTGAAGAATGCTGAGAGCTCGTAGTGGTTTTGGGGAATTGCAACTTGTTTAATACTTTTTTTTAGCATCTTCTCTGTCTTCCCCTCCCATTTACTGCTAATTGGTTTAGTCCTAGCTAGACCCTCCCCACTTATAAAATGTTCCTGCACTTATAGTTATTCGCACATACAGGGGTTTAGGAAAATCATTGTCTTCTTATACTTCAAAAGATTGGAAAAACATCCTCTGTACTGCACTTGCCAGAAGTAAAAGTGCATTCGATTCAACTTTTGTGAAGAGTTAAGCTGCCTGTGGATAGTGACAAGTCAGCAGGAAGTGACTATACTGTCTGGACAGACTGGACCTAAGGAGGTATGTCGATGCATAAAGAGGCATTTGAAACAGAACAGCTGGATGCCTCTTCTGGTCTCTCTCTCATCTTCATACAGTCATACTGGGGAGGAGAGAATGCATTTCATGAAAT